GTTTGTTTAGTCATAGAATTATATGTCTGGATTGGACTATTTTTAGTGAATCCAATGTTTGGTTAGACGGACTGGATAAGGATAAATGTTCAAAAGACTATTTTACCCTTGTAATTTATAATTTTTATTTAATATAAATGTTCAATTAAATTAAATTTATAATTTATAATTTATATTTTTTATTTAATATATAATTTTAAATTAACAACACTAAAAAAAATAATTTATAAATGTTCAAAAGACTATTTTATCATTTTCTAATTGTTTACTAAGTAATAGAATAGAAGGTTAAATGGACATTTCACAAAATAATTCCATGGGATACCAATCCCATGGTTTCTATCCCACCCTCCCCCATGGGATAGGATGGTCTCATATTTGTGGGACTAATAGTCCGGGGGACTATTAATCCGGAACAAAAATTTTCAAACAAACAATGGACTATTAATCCGGTGAGACTAATAGTCCAATCTCACACCCTAATCCTTCGAAACAAACACACCCTAAGCTTTTAATTAATGTGGTCACAGAGTTTCCCCATGAACAGAAGCTTTCCGCTAGCATATTTCCCTGACCCAAGGCCATGTTTGATTCACAATACTAATAGTGAGGTATTAATAATCCTATCAAATTAGTGTGGTATTAACTATCCCATCCCTACCCCATTACTAATTATCCTACAAATTTGTTGGATTAATTATCCATTGGATTAATAGTCCTAAACCAAATGTCAAAACAAACATAGGATGGTTGGGCCCACAGATTAATAATCCTAATCTCATACTTTAATCCTTCCAATCAAACCCACTTCCCACTAAACACATTTGAGATTTCTGCAAGTCAAATTGAACACATAAAAAAAAGTTCGCATTTTTCTATTTAAGTGAGAAACTTACAGAAAAGTAGGATTTTGGAGATCAGGAAATGATCATTATTTTCATCCTTACTCGAGGAAATCCTTTAAACAAAGGGAGGTGTTGCTTCCTCTTCTTCTGAATAAAAGACAAAACGTCAAGAAGAAGAAGAAGATCTTGAATTTGAATGTGCTTTTGGGACAATTTTAGTCGATAGAAACCCAACTGAAAGAATGTAAACTACTGCCAGATGTGTTACCGTAGTACCCTCTCTCAGAATCATGGGATGACTTTCAACTAATGAGGTTAGAACTTAAGGTCTTCATGCTGCTCTATTTTCTAATTGTCATATTTTTTTTATGGTCGTAGGGCGAAACCTCAGGGCCGAAGCCCTTACCGTATTGGATAAGGTAGCTTATGTGGTAATTTCTTGTTAAATAGAGCTTCGTAACACCTATAAAATAGCCTCTTAGGGGTAAAATGAACTAGGTCTTGAAGATGAAGGAAAATTAAAGACTGCTTATCTCTTCTTCGTCTCTGATAAATCTTCATGCTCTAACTCATCTAATGCAGAATATAAGAAGCTCCAGGAAGAGTAAATTTAAAGAAGTGGTGATATTTGAAAATTGAAATGGTATCAAAGCGAAATCGATAGGAACCATACATAATCATAGTTCTAATATTATTATAATTCTATTTTATGATTATATAGAAACCATACATAATCATGTTTCTAATATTATTATAGTTCTATTTTATGATTATTTTTATGTTTTCTAGGATTTTTAGGTGAAGGATATTTTGGTAATTTTATATTTGCCTACATGGGTTGTAGGGGTCACCCATGGGTTGTCTTGTGAGTTGAGTTATTTAATTAGTGTTTGTTTTTGTTTCTTATTTAGTCTTAAATTTGTTTTGGAAGTCAAAAGATTTTTTGGTAGTTTTGTATTTTAGTTCTAGTTGGTTTAAGAAGTCTCATAGTCAATTTAATAGAGTTGATGTTTTAGAGAATTTCAAGAGCTTTTGAAGTTTCTTTATGGATTGTGTGATGTAATCAACTCCTAGGTGTGATGCCTAAGGGATTCTAGGAGTGATTCCTAAGTGTAATCAACTCCTAGGTGTGATGCCTAAGGGATTCTAGGAGTGATTCCTAAGCCAATCTTCTTCTTTCTTTTTCTTTTCCTTTTCTATTTCAAATTACTATTCACGAGTTACTGTTCACAGCACCCAAAACAGTCCCAAAGATCATTCTTCCTTATTGTTACATTAAGCCCTAAACCTAATTCTTCCATATACTAATAGAAGCCCTAAATTTACCATTACTTTTCATCTTGAAACCACAACAAAAAAATCCCAATTAAGATCAGCCCCAAAACCTAGATTTGTTGTTGTCCCCAACGCCTAGATCTGCTGATATGCCTAATTGTCTTACATCAGTATGGTATTAGAGCTTAAGGTTCCACCATGATGTTTTCACATTGTGGTAAATCCTATACAAGTGGATTGAATTGGGAGGAGGATAAAGCGCTTCTTAGAGGAAAAAATTCATCTAAAGCACCTTCAAGATGATTTTCTTGATCAATTGCATACTCTTGAGCAAGGTAATATGCGTGTGATTTGATTATGCAAGAAAATATAAGGAGTTATTATCAAGTCTGACGTTGTCAAAAGTGAACGAACAACTATTGCTTGTTTCAAAAGTGGATTAAGATTTGGAATTAAAAAAGAGATGTCCATTGCATATTTGGAAGATCTCGAAAATGCTATTGAAACGACTATACAATTTGAGTTTTTTGTAAAATTTAAGGAGAAATCTACAGTTTTGAAACCTACGCATAATGCAAAGCCTGTCCAGCAAAAGAAACCAACAGAAACTCCAAAACAAAAGAGCTAAAGTGCCGCAAAAAGATGCTAAAGTGCCACAAAAAGATACTAAAAAGCCACAACAAGATGCACCAAAGCCGAATATTGTTCTTAGGAATGAAAACCCTACACAATTGAAGTTGCAAGCCAATGAATATTCTCAGAATTTTCTGAAGGTGAAGGATGGCCAGATTTTGATGGATAATGAGGCTCTGATTGATGAATCTAAAACACCACAAGAGGCACCAACTTTAAAGAAATTCGTCAACCAAAATTCTGTGTGTTCCGAGATAGATTTTGTGAATGACAAGCAAACCTTTGCCATGGGGAAAGATGACCAGATTTCAAAGAATGAAAAAGCAGTTATTGATGATTCAGAAGAAATCCAGCAATCCCTTGTAATGAATCCAATATTTCTGGTGTTGCAATAGCAATGATTGCAAAGTCAAAGGAGCAAGCTGCTGGCCCAGAACCAAAATTGTCTTTAGACGTTAATAAGTTACTGGCTGAGTTTAATTTAGAGTCAAGAGAGTCGTCTCCGGAGCCTATAGTGATGGATATTGTACAAATAGAAGATTCAGAGGCCACACAAGATGTAGGGATTGAAGAATTACAGCAACAAGTTGCTGATACTGATCCTAATATGACCTTACAAGTCACTAATTTGCTGCCTAAATTCTCTCCAAGAGGTACTGATATTTTAAAAAGGGATGGTAACATTGGCATGATGGAACATTGGTTGACAAGGGGGATGAGAAGTCCCAAAAATCATTCTTCGTTATTGTTACATTAAGCCCTAAACCTAATTCTTCCATATACTAACAGAAGCCCTAAATTTCCCATTACTTTTCATCTTGAAACCACAACAAAAAAATCCAATTAAAATCAAGCCCAAAAGCCTAGATTTGTTGCTGCCCCAAAAGCCTAGATTTGCTGCTGCCCCTAATTGTCCTGCATCATCATCTCTTATTCTTGTTCTTATCTCTTATCTATCCTCTCCCAGTTATCCATGACCTTGTTTGAAAAGTTGACTATTTTAGCCTGGCTAATATAGGGGGTGTTTGGGAAACCAATATTGAGGCTAAAACAGCCTCAAATACATTTTTAACCAAATAGCCTCAAATATCTTAAACCAATAGAGAAAAAAAAAAAAAAAAAAAAAAAAAGAAAAGAAAAAAAAAAACAACCATCATTTCGGAATGGGGCAGCTACACTGTCACGTTGACAGTGTAGCAGTGTAGTTGACAGCCTATTGCCTAGGATAGTAAATGACGATTTTACCCCTTAACACCAATTTTGAAAAATGTAAGATTAGAGACAAATTTGTCATTTTAATTTTAAATATTATTTCAACACATTTTTCAATACAACAACTCAAATAAAAATTCATCCCATCTTCCCAAACACAAAAACTAAAATAGCCTACTAAAATAGCCAAAAAGCCTCTAAAATAGCCACTTCCCAAACACTCACATAGTTGTGTTTGAAAAGTTGGTTGGCTTTTTTTTGTAGTTAATTTGATGGTTGTGAGAGAAAAAGTGAAATGATTATGGGTTGGATGTGATATTTTGTCTTATTGGCTATTTTAACCTATTTCATCTTTTAGTAGGCTATTTTTACCCAATCCTCTTCCCAAACACCCCTTATATATTCTCTATTTACTATCCTAAATATACAGAAAAAACATATATCCTATGAAGCATGTGTACTTCGAAAAACATGCCGTACCCGTACCGGGTACTTACCGGCGTACCATACCTCGTATGGTACTTCTACATACGTACCGGGTACACGAAACACGTACCCAAGTTTTTTCTTCTTAATTTTTGACGTACCCAGACGTACCGAGTATATATTCAAGCCGTACCGTACCTCAGTTTTTATTTTATGCTTAGCATGATTTTAAAATTAAACAATGGTTTGTAAGTTGTTTAATATATTAACATTTAATTTTGATTTATACTTTTCCTTTTGACATTAAATGTTAATTATAGGTTGGACCTTAACAAATTAAACAATTTAATTAATTTTTACATTACTCTAAATTAAAAATAAATATTTTTTTACAAACGTACCAAGCCGTACCCGTACCCTATTTTTTTTGAATTTTACCGTATCGACGTACCCGTATCGTACCAGTACCCGTACCCGTACCCCTACCCGTGCTTCATAGCATATATCCATGTATATATTTACATATATCACCATCATATTTTGCCCATGATGTTTTTGAAGGAATTCCCGTGAAGTTCAAGCCACATCATCAATGCACAAGAGAAATTATACACAATGATTTCAATAGATTAGTGAATTTATTTTATTATCTTTTGAATTTTAAACAAATAGGAGAGTTAACCGTATAAATGAATATGCATATTCTCCTACATAATTTAATCAACAAAACTATCAGCAGTCCAAATAGAGCCTTAGTGACAGACTTATAACATATTAGGGGGAAAAGTAAAGAGTTCAATGCCAGTAAGAATCATTTACCTCTGCCCCTTGACAACTATAACTTAAGATCACCATAAATCTTTTTTATGCCTTCAACTCAAAATTCTCATGCAAGAACCTGTATAGCTCCTCTGCAACCACATTTGGATACTCTTCCTGCGGAAGGAGGGCACCTGGGACCTCAACAAACTTGCTCACCCCTTTCACTTCCCTAAGAGCTTCCATCTCTGCTTTTGATCTCTTGGGAGAACCTGCTGTAGACACAATGAGAACTGGTATTCTCCCTTCTAATCCTGCAAAAAGTTCAACAAACTCCTCTCGGGATTTCACAGGGTCCAGTAGACCAGTCAAAAAAGCAGCAGGCACATAACGGGCACCTTTCTGTTTTGTAAGAGCATATCTGCTTTCAACAGGCTAAAATAGCCTCAAATACATTTTTAACCAAATAGCCTCAAATATCTTAAACCAAAAAAAAAAAAAAACATTATTTCGGCATGGGGCAGCTACACTGTCACGTTGACAGTGTAGCAGTGTAGTTGACAGCCTATTGCCTAGGATAGTAAATGACGATTTTGCCCCTTAACACCAATTTTGAAAAATATAAGATTAGGGACAAATTTGTCATTTTAATTTTAAACATTATTTCAACACATTTTTCAATACAACAACTCAAATAAAAATTCATCCCATCTTCCCAAACACAAAAACTAAAATAGCCAAAAAGCCAAAAGACCTCTAAAATAGCCACTTCCCAAACACCCACATAGTTGTGTTTGGAAAGTTGGTTGGCTTTTTTTTGTAGTTAATTTGATGGTTGTGAGAGAAAAAGTGAAATGATTATGGGTTGGATGTGACATTTTGTCTTATTGGCTATTTTAACCTATTTTATCTTTTAGTAGGCTATTTTTACCCAACCCTCTTCCCAAACACCCCTTATATATTCTCTATTTACTATCCTAAATATACAGAAAAAACATATATGCATGTATATATTTACATATATCACCATCATATTTTGCCCATGATGTTTTTGAAGGAATTCCCGTGAAGTTCAAGCCACACCATCAATGCACAAGAGAAATTATACACAATGATTTCAATAGAATAGTGAATTTATTTTATTATCTTTTGAATTTTAAACAAATAGGAGAGTTAACCGTATAAATGAATATGCATATTCTCCTACATAATTTAATCAACAAAACTATCAGCAGTCCAAATAGAGCCTTAGTGACAGACTTATAACATATTAGGGGGAAAAGTAAAGAGTTCAATGCCAGTAAGAATCATTTACCTATGCCTTCAACTCAAAATTCTCATGCAAGAACCTGTATAGCTCCTCTGCAACCACATTTGGATACTCTTCCTGTGGAAGGAGGGCACCTGGGACCTCAACAAACTTGCTCACCCCTTTCACTTCCCTAAGAGCTTCCATCTCTGCTTTTGATCTCTTGGGAGAACCTGCTGTAGACACAATGAGAACTGGTATTCTCCCTTCTAATCCTGCAAAAAGTTCAACAAACTCCTCTCGGGATTTCACAGGGTCCAGTAGACCAGTCAAAAAAGCAGCAGGCACATAACGGGCACCTTTCTGTTTTGTAAGAGCATATCTGCTTTCAACAATGTCGGGGGTCACATTTTCAGGATTTGCATAAACATGAGACTTGTACTGCGATTGGATTGCATTCTGATTGCTGACGAGCACATTGTACATCATCCATCCTACAGCAGGAGCCCTTAAGGTTCCCCTAAGCAGTCCATACCTGTTAATTTAGCAAGAAATGGAAGCTGAGTTCAGGCTGATCAAGTAAATTAATAAAACAAAAGGGTGTTCAGATATGTAAAATGTCCCATGAATGAGTTAGCCATATTAACCAGATAAGACCAGAGTGACTGGTTGGGCTTTTTAACCAATGGTTCAACTGAAAGATCTCGTTGTTAAAAATGATGAATTAGATTAATTAGCAATACATTTTTAATGATCCAACGGTTAAAAGGACAATCACATCTTAATCTGTCCTGGCTAAGAAATATAGTACAGATGCCTTGGTGCAGATAATTATTTTCACAAAATGAAAGGTCCTATACACTGCAAGATTTAAAAAGTGAGCACAAAATAGCACTTCAACACCAAAGCAAGTTGTCCGCCCAAAAACAAACATATAGTGTAAGAATACCTTGATTCCATGTTGGAATCTCGACCAAACACAATAGGGAGGGGACCAGCCCAGGTGGGTGCAACAGCAGCAATGGCAGTTGGCTTCACTAAACCCTTTTTTGCAGCACGAACTGTTATTGTGGCAGCATGCCCTCCTCCAAAGACCACCAAATCATTATCTGATCGAGTGAACATAATTATAAGCAAGACAGACAGCAGAAATTGACGGTAATAGTTATTTTGGGTAATATAATAAAATCACATAGAATGAAGACGTAAGCATTGTAGACAGAGTGCTAAGAAATACAGCGGTATGCAAGGAAAACATGGGAAGACACAAAATGAAAGGACTAGAAATAAAATGATCTTATAAAAAGAGCTAAACTAGTATGCAATTCACACTAAAACCAAACAGAGATTGAGTAGTTAATTTCTCTTACAAAGCAAATGATAAACACCTGAAACTAAATCAAATAGTGGAACTCAAACACTAGTATGCAAGTAAATATCCATGATATCCTTTTTTTTGGATAAATAAATATCCATGATATCCTTACTCTCAAACATTAACAATACATATGAATATTTAGAGTAGATCTCCAGCTCCATCTAATCTTTATCTTCGCCATGTATGATTGTGCTCTAACAGATCCATGTGCTAGTAATATGAGAGGGAATAAAAACAATTACAGGAATTATGTGAGTCCCGACACTGCCACGTGGCGTAATTATAAATTATCATGTGTATGACAATTGTCAAATTCTTATCAAACACTACATTAGTGTTTTATGTTATGCAAAACTCATCAGGATATGAAATCTTATCGATATAGAAGTCCTGAACAACTGGAGATTGTTTGGGATAGGACTTTTAGAACATTCAAACTACTTGCTAAATAAGTCATTGAATATTATAATAGGCAACATCCTCATGGGTTGAGGTACACAATTTCTCTCTATGAATTAGTCTATTAAATATTTTGATAATATTGGAGGACTGTCTTGGGCGCGGAGGGCCCCGCCTACGGCTAGGGGTGTTTTGTCTTGCAGCTAGCGATTGCGTGGTGGTGCTGATCATCTTCTTCGTTGGATTTCTTTATCATCAAACACGTCATTTTTTTTTATGTCCGTACATAAAACTAATACTTATGTGCTAAAATTTTGTTCTCAGCCAAAGTCAACATGAAATCACAAGAAGTCCGATAAAAATAGATTACAGAATATTACAAGAAATCATTCTGGAGCAACATAAGAACAAGATAAAGGATAAAATAATGAAGACAGATGAAATTTATCTAAGAATCCAGAAGAAAAAGGCATTAAGAAATAGGTAAAAAGCTAGCCCCAAAATTTTAACTACATGTCAGCGTAAGATTAGGTATCCACAAACCTCCTCAAATCAACAGAAAGTGGCCACCGATGGAGGGCAATAAACTATGCTTGAAGAAAATTCAACTCATGACCTACGACTCTTCATAAAATATGAAAAAAATAATTAATATAGAAGTATGCATGTATTGGACACTACTCCATTAGAAATTCAACCTCAACAGACAATACATAGTTAACAGTTTAGCATTGGAGACTCGTGATTCATGAAAATATATAATATACATGTACATATCTAGGAAAAATAGTCAAGTATAAAATTGAACAAGAATAAACTCAAAAAATCAGCATTGCAGCCATAGTTTGACCATGAAAAGGCAAACCCATCATAATTGATGCAAACATATCATTTCTTAATTGAAAAACATATAAACATAAACCCACGTGCTAACCTGAGCACCACATAAGATGTGGCTGACATGGATAAAGCATATAAAAACATAGTTATACCCACCCGAGGAGCTTATTGGACCATTCGGTGCATTCATGAAGTCAACCAGGAATTTCTCCATGACATCAGCATTGTAATCTAGCCTTGGCCTATCAGAGTAACCCAAACCAGGCCAATCAACAATAGTAGCCCGCCAATTCACTTTACCAACTCGTTGAATAATGTCTTTAGCCACTGATCTCCATTCTTCCACAGTACTAACATCAGAAATTGTTGGTATCATAAGAATATTCTTAGTAGGACCAGTACTCTCCTTCTCATGTTCCTCATAATAAATGTTGACATAAGTATCCTTGAATTTCCATTGCCAATTATCCGTCTGAAACACAAAAATAAATCAGAAGACCAACAAATGTTTAGGAAAACAGCAAATTGAAGATAATTTAGGTAGCGTTAGAAACAATAAACATGATTTAATTGGTTTTTTCCCAAAAATCAAAAGCAAATAAAATGTTTGGTGAGTCGTTGAAAGGGGGGAGTGCCCAAAGGTTGCCGAAGGGCGGAGGAGTGGCCAGAGGCAGAGGAGAGAAGGAATGACAAATTGTTTTCAAAACTACTGAAACCCGTTTTCTTTTCCAAAAATGGCATAAGTTTTGCAAAATTTTCAAAGTTTTTGAAAACAAAACATTACCAAACATGCCTTAGTTTCAGCACCTGAGTCATGAACATTATCACTCGAACTTCGTAAAATTTTCAATGACCATCCTCAACAAAATTAAAGTAATGTAGTCCAGTACGATCAAAAGGTTAGAAACTATCATGTTACATCATGTGCTTCCTACTTGAAATAATTCTAGCTTTAAACTACAACAAAAAAAGAAACTTAAACAAGAGAAATAGAGATGGGAAGAGACACTGACAGTTTCAATAACATGGATACAAGTTGCCGTGATGTAACAAAGTTTGATTTTCTCACCTATTTTAATGTGTTGCACTACAATGAATTAATTATGAATGTCTGAGAATTTAGATAGAAATTAACAAGTTGCAGGATGACATTGAAAGTTTGAGTAAGTTCAAGGGGCAAAATAATAGTACTAAGTATACCCTATTAGAAAACCCATAAATCACACAGAAACAAAATCACCCTATTTTATTTAATATAGCATGTTAAATACATCATGTGCTTCCTACTTGAAATAATTCTAGCTTTAAACAACAACAAAAAAAGAAACTTACACAAGAGAAATAGAGATGGGAAGAGACACTGACAGTTTCAATAACATGGATACAAGTTGCCGTGATGTAACAAAGTTTGATTTTCTCACCTATTTTAATGTGTTGCACTACAATGAATTAATTATGAATGTCTGAGAATTTAGATAGAAATTAACAAGTTGCAGGATGACATTGAAAGTTTGAGTAAGTTCAAGGGGCAAAATAATAGTACTACTAAGTATACCCTATTAGAAAACACAAAGTTTGATTTTCTCACCTATTTTAATGTGTTGCACTACAATGAATTAATTATGAATGTCTGAGAATTTAGATAGAAATTAACAAGTTGCAGGATGACATTGAAAGTTTGAGTAAGTTCAAGGGGCAAAATAATAGTACTAAGTATACCCTATTAGAAAACCCATAAATCACACAGAAACAAAATCACCCTATTTTATTTAATATAGCATGTTAAATGATATTATTTTGTGCACCACAGGACACAAAATAAGTTAATTTTATCACATATATGCTTGACCATTCAAGATCAATATCTGATAATGGATCAGATAGCACCAATACCGATCCATTTTCTTCCACATTTTTTCTATTCCAATGAAAATATTCAACAATCCCTTAACCAAATTCAATGACCCATCCAACATAGTTGAATATAAATAAGGAATGCTGATCATTTTGTCATCATTCCATTGTTCTTTTTTTCTTTTTTCTTTTTCCTTTTTTTGTCAATCAATAGGAAAGTAATTATACGTATGAAAAATAGTGCATCATCAAATAGACTACTAGTCCACAATAGCAAGAAAGTCAACAACGCATACCAAAGCCTACCTAACAACCAAATACCAAGCCTAGCCTACTAAGCCCAAGCCCAAGCCCAACAACAACTCCACCACTACTTAGTGTACAACCCCCATAATGAGGGAGAAATAAACACCACCACAAAGGGTATCAAACTTCTCATAGGAGATGAACCTAAAACCTCACACCACAAAGGGAATTACACAACCACATCCCATTGTTCACTATGGGCAAAATCTCACAATGTGATAAAAGAATCAATGTAAAACATTCCTTAATGCCAATTAAGAAATGTAATCATTTCCATCACTTCAATTCTCAAAAGTGTAAAATTTGATCCTGTTAGGAAACAGAGTTGGGTAGCTCCACACATGCACTTTAACTTATATGTACAAACATAGGGTGATAACAGAGTTTGGTTATGACCTATTGTAGTTTTAGTTATAACTTATTGTGATGTTTGTGAGGTTGGTTATGACGTAATATTTTAGTTATGATCCAAGAGCTCTTTGCTTATACATCATGTGGTGTATTTGGTTATAAATTCTCTCTTCTTTTTTTTTTTTTCTTAAATTATGACTGACATTTGTGCCACAAATCTCATAACTTGCATATGGGTGTCCACCAAACTTATACAAATGTATATAGATGCATATATATATATATATATATATATATATATTACCTTTTTTTCATTTTTTTTTGAATTCAAATCATTATTTAAGAATGTAAATGAACATCAATTCAATTTAAAAGTCATCTTCCAAGCACAATTCACCGTGAAGAACTCACTCCATTGAGGATTCCCAACTTTCTGATGATAAAATTCAAATGTGCCACGCATTGATTCAACTAGAACGATCACAAGCATAACTAATCAAACAAATGGTGAATGTTTTACTGACCTTCACAGAAGTTGATGCCTTTGCGCAATCCAGAAAAGTCGAAGCCTTAACTATGAGGGGTTTTGATAAGCAAGCACTTTGAGAGCGGGAAGGCCGATAAGTTCCGAGAGACAGAGTAAATGCTGATGAGGACGACAAATGCAAAATTGCAGAGAACGCCATGATCGATTTTAGAGAACAGAATGAGATTTCAGAAGGTTAGGGTTTTATGAGAGAGAGAGAGAGAGAGAGAGAGAGTTGCTGGTACTGTGTGGACCGTGTTATTGGTGGTCTTGGTTGATTTTTCTGCCCGAGAGAGAAAATGTTGACCGATCGTAGTTTATTCTAGGGCAAATTACATATACCCCTCGAGATTTGGCTAAATTACAGATATCCCTAAAGTTTGAGAAATTATGAATTTTCCTCTGAATACTATATTTACATAAGAAATTAGGGGGTAATTTGTTATGAAATATAAACTTCATGAGGCAAATTATTATGAAAATACAAACCTCAGTAGACGGGATGTAATTTCCGAAATCTCAAAGAGATATCTATAATTTAACCAAACCTCGAGGGGTATATGTAATTTGCCCTTTATTCTACCACCGCCACCTAGCGTTTTTATTCAGTTGTCTCTTTTTTCTTTTTGGATTTTTTTACACTTTTTTTACGTGGATAAATTACAAATATATATCTTGAATGTCCATTTAAGTTTTTAATCACATAACTAATCATTTATTTTATTAATATATTGATATCATAAATATATTTTAATTAATAATTTTGATAAATTTATTATTACATATAAGAGTAGTTAAGAATTTTATTTTTTCTATTAAGGGCAAATTACCAACACCCCTCTCGAGGTTTGACTAAAATATAGATTTCCCTCTAAGGTTTGAGAAATTACATCCCGCCTCCTGAGATTTATATTTGCATAACAAATTATTTTCTGAGGTTTATATTTACATAACAAATTGCCATCTCATTTGTTATGTAAATATAAATCTCATGAAGCAATTTGTAATTTCTCAAACCTCAGAGCAATCCGTATTTTAGTCAAATTTCGAGGGGTATTGGTAATTTGTATTAATTATGCTAGATAAAAAATTCTAATAAAAAAATATTTAATACTCGTTTGCCATGAAAAAGTTTGAGGCTTTTTTGTTAAAATAATCATAAGCAGACAAAATAGGCTAAAAAACTAATAAGACAATATATCACATCCAAATCATAATCATTTCATTTTTTCTTTCATAAAAATTAAAAAAAAAAAGCCCAAAAAACTTATCTCAAATGAGACTTTTTAATCCTAGGTTAAAATAGTCAAAAAATTTAAAAGTTAAAAAGTTAATCCACATCCCAAACAAAGCCTTATAATTTTCAAAACTACAAAATTAATTTATATTTTAAACAAATCTAATTTATAAAAAAAATTTGAAGACTCTAAGATGCTAGACACTACAACCCCTCTTGTCTGGTTAATTAGATGCCTAACATGTATAAGAGTTTGGTTTGGGTGATTTTCGGAGGTCTCGTATGAGAATATATTTTTTAATAATTTTTTAATTAAAATATGATATAAAAAAAATTAGTATTTTTAGAATGATTTTTTAGTTTTTTACAAAAAAAATGTACAAAAAATAAAGAGAAATAGAATATTTGACTTTTTTGTATAAATTGTTGAATTTTTAATTTTTTTAATAACTTTTTAACTTTTAAACTAAAAAGTAATATTATCAAACGAGACCTTAATTCATTATTCACCTCACATTTTTCTATCACCATCACATGTTATCCAAAGTCACTCAAGCTTTCATTGCCTAATTCCTTCCTCATGAGAAGTGCCGAAGTTTTGTTTTGTAAATTAAAACGAAGTCTAAATGGATCATGCTACAATTGAAATTTAACAATTTTGATTTGAAATCCTATTGTCACATTATTAGGATGAAATATGCAATGTAAATTGATGTGCCGATTCTCTAGTCCTAACACATTGCAACATTCAGTCTAAAATTGCTAACAACATTTGTATAGTACAACATTTAGGAAAGTAAAGTGCAAGATCGAGAAGGAAAAAGAACAAAAAAACAAGAACTAAACATGATTTTATTCTTAGATTGTCAAATTTGTGTAATATAAACAAGAAATAAATTTTTAAAAAAATATGCGTATATTTTATACATTTCAAAACATGTTTTATTTGTCAAAATTGCTAGGGTTTTGGAATTTTTTGTTAGTGTTATACACAAGGTACCAAATTGCGATTCTTTTATATCAAAAAACCCAAAAAAGTTCCGAAACCACATTAAAACTTTGTATATTCCATTTTTCTTATTAATCTACTCAAATAGCTTTGTTGGATCTTATAATAGGTGCATTTTCATGCGAAACAATGTATACAACTTAAATGATACCCGTAGTCTTTATAGTTTTAGTGAATTTTAATGGAGAATGATCACTTGTATGTCACATATGTGTTTTTAAGGGAATAATTTAATTAGTATTTTCACCCCATTTTCATCTCTCCAAACATGCCTTCTCTATAAAATCTCTATAAAATCAAATTTGCATCAATGTGTACAAGTCTACATCAATATTGTAGCCGTTGATTTTGATGGAGAATGATCACTTGTATGTCACATATGTGTTTTTAAGGAAACAATTTAATGAGTATTTTCACCCCATTTTCATCTCTCCAAACATGCCTACCCTATAAAATCTCTGTAAAATCAAATTTGCATTAATGTGTACAAGTCTACATCGATATTGTAACCGTTGAAATTGGAATTATAGGGACATAAATGAGATTTTTGTCAAATTTAATGACAAATCGATGTAATTTACCCATGTATGTAAATGTTAAATTAGTTAATGATACGGTGCGAGATTAATGTAATAACATTTTTTTCCCAATCAGTAGATGGGCAATGACACAAATTAACCTCATACAATTCAGTCGCAATGTCAAAATGAAGAACAAACTTTATTTCAAAAACTTGTGACAAATATCGAAGGGATTACAATGATATAAGACCTTGCATCCAACAAACTAAACAAAGAAAACAAATGCAGAAACAAACAATTAAAGAAAACCAAAGATTTATGACAAAGATGCGGTAATAAAATGGAAATTTCAAACATCTAGAGCCTTAAGGTTAAATCAAGCCCATTCCAATTGAATCCATCATCGCCATAGTTGTTTCTTTCCACCATGTTCTCAATCGGATGATCCAACTTGTCGATAAATGGCTTTGTGAAATCGCTTGACCAACGTGCCCGAAATGCACGATCAGCTTCTAAGGCAAACGCATAGTTTGTCATAACCAATGGACGTGGTGGCGGTGCTCGAGTTAGCGAAGGCCTCAACATATAGTAACCGCCACCACTACCACCACTACCACCGATACTCATTGTGTTTTTAGAAGGCACTTGTGGTGCAGCAGAAACAACTTGTGGTGCTTTGGAATTAGAGTTTCGGTTCATGATGGGTTTGTGAGTGAATTGTTGTCTTATTCCATGCGACAACGATGGTGGTTGTGAGGAAGAACTAGGTCGGAGATGATTGGGATAGTTGTTTAGGTCATTTGTGTGAGGAGTATTAAGATTCATATCATATTGTCTTCCAGGAAAAATAATCATGTTACCATCCATGTGAGATTCTTGGAAGTGGTTCAACAAATGTTGTTGGCCTAAGAACACCTTACTGCATGCTCGACATATCATCGGTGAATTAGGGTGTAACATCTGCATCTCATTCTTAAACTGAGAATTCATGTCATTGCTTGTGAATTCCATACTAGGGTTATGAGAAAGAGAGAGAGATGGGTAATGGAGATGAACATTGAGGGCTCTCCATCATGAGGTATTTATAGCAGTGTAGGATTGTGGACGAGCCAAGTAATAAATTATTTTAGTTATTAAATGAATTTTAAAATATATTTAAGTTTGGCTTGCTTACATAACGTGCTAATTTCAAATGAATTTTTAATAAGTTAAGCTAAAATAACTTAGTTTTTTTTTTTTTTTTTGGTAGTATATAGATTTATCGAACTAAGTAATAAATTATTTAAATTTGACTTAAAAACTTGACAAACTCTAAATATGTTTAAACTTGACTTATTTATATAATAAACGCAAGTTGAGCTTGAGTAACTTAGTTTGTTTTACAACCACATTTATAGGATTTGATAAATTATAATTACTATGGAAAGATATACAATTGATATTATATTAATTGTTTCATTACCTAATTCTAGTATTAATGAAGTATTAATGACATTTTTGAATTTAAAATACTTGAACCCAAAGTGTAAAATGACCTTAAATGATTTGTGTGGGATCACACACATGTGAATTGTGTGGGTCCCACATCCATGTGAGAGATTTGATAGAATATTTAATAATTTATTTGGGATCCCTAACATAACTCTATTCAAAATACATACACACTTTCAATTCATGGTAACCATAAGTCTCCTCTCATTTCTTTTTTTTTTTTTTTTTTTTTTTTTTTTTTTTTTTTTTTTTATAGTATACTTCTAATGTCAAGTACCTAGATGTTGATATCATACACTTTTCATTGAAGTATTTAATTTTTTTAAATATGTATTTAGAAAAAAGTGTGTGACACTAATATTTTGGTGTGTGGCATTTATTATTTTGCAAATTAAATCAAGCATTATATGCACATACCTTTTTTATCAAAAGCAATAAATGACATGCCCAGTAAGATGGTTGTAAGAGAATCTAAAGTTGGTAATACAACTAAGATAGTGGTAATAACATTTTTAAAGGTGGACCTATTCGTTGCTTATTTATTTATTTATTATTATTATTATTGAATAAATTATCAATAGATCTTAATAGTTAGATTTAATTTTCATTAAATCTTATAAAAAATAAGTCATAGTAAAATCATCACAAAAAATATTTTTTTTTGACTTTTTTTACATGTTACTAAAAATTGATAAGTAATAACTTTTTTTGTTATAATTTTTATAAATTGTCACTAAAATTTACAATTAATGATTTTTTTTTGTTGTGGCAAAATTTTCAAACTATAGCTAATAGTTAAAAATTAATGACTTTTTTGTGATGATATTTTTAAACTATCACTAAAACTTACAATTAATGACATTTTTTGTGACAATTTTTAAACAGTTGCTAAAAATTAACAATTAATGACTTTTTTTTAATAGTGTTTGATAAAAATGTCTTTAATTCTCACAAGACCTATTAAATAATAAGTCTATCTATTATAACTTACAGGTAAGTCTCATTATTTTTTTGGGGCTAATACTATCAAGTGGTTCCTTGAGTG